GTAGAATAATTGACGAAAGAACGGGTGTGTTCATCGAAAGTCCTTCAAATAATTCTATACACACGTTTGTTGCCAACAGAATTTCATCAATAAAAAAAGCGCGCGTACCGGCTTTCTCAGGCTTTGTTGGAATTACAGTCAAGGTGTTTTTTATCAAGCGGCATCTACTTTACACAAAGAACTGGTTTCGATTATCAGAAGACAGTGTATCACCGCATACATAATTACGATGCATATAATGTGTAATCATGTGGACGGTTGATAATAAAACAGTGCTGTTGAGTCGATATGATCACGATAAAATGCATCGTTGTTTTCCCGGCTTTCCGAATGCAGCCAATATGAAATATATGTGTTTATTATTAGAAAGAGAAACTGTATTGTTAGCATGAAATATATAGGTTTGTTCTTGTTAGCTAAACTTGTGATACATCTTTTCTCTTTTCTTCTCCAATGTGGAGAGAAAAGGAGAAAAATGTGCAAGAAATTTAGCTAAAAAGAACGGATCTTAGATTATTGAAATAGAATATATTTGAGATCACATCCATTTCTATTAATGTAGATCAATTTTAATCTCGGTTTAACTTCTTCATCTTTTTCTAACTCTTATCACCAGTTTTACAACTCACGATTTACTCTTAATCGAAGATCAATTTATTCCTCATCTCTTTTTAATTCTAGAATTGGAAAGAAGTTGATATTGATGCAACTGGGCCTAAATTATATTTTTTATTGGTTATTTCGAAAAAAATTATTTATAAAATTTTGTATCACATCTTGCAATCTTGGGTTTATTTTCTGTTCCTACATTAGACTGTTCTAGAACTCTTTTTCTCGCTATAAACGAATATCAAACGTATATCTATCTCACTTTAAATTCCAAAAGTGTCAGCCACAGAAAACAGACTTCTTATTGTATGTAATTTTTTATAATGTTAATATTTGTGAATTATTGATTGAGTAGAATTTTAACAGAATTTTCAATTGTTAATGTCTTGGATTATATCCATGATCTATATTGCTTATTCTATGAAGAATAACATTTTTTTGTTGTTAGCTCCTGTTACAATAATCATCTTATCAGTTTATTCACAATTTATATATTTAATGATACGTTTATCATTAAATACATAAATTTATTTTATTAAATTTGATAACTTTTATCATCTTGTAATTTTAAATGTTATTTGTTATTATAGTATGATTTATATTGTAAAAAAGAAAAATTTCCTATTTAATTATATATTTTATTATTTAAATATTTATTATTCTATTGAGTATGTAACTACATATGTCATACGTGTATTTAACGTGCAATTTTTTTTTTCTACAGGTAAAAATGGAAGAACAGTGGGGAATCGATGACACGTTGGATTTTAGTCAGGCACCAGTTAATATGTCTTCTGTAAGGATATATGCATTTAAATCTTTTTAAATATCAATAATAAAACAATAAAGTAATCATTAATATCGATATTTTGTTTTAATAGTTTGAAGAAGGACGCGCTCCTTGCCGTGGTAAAGGCCGAGGCGCAATGCTGTACAATAACAATGACACAGATTACAATGTAGGAGGCTCCTATAATAGTAAACAAACAAATGAAGAAAACTATGATAATAATACCTACAGTGAAGATACTGAAAATAATAGATATAATGGCGATAATAATAATAAATTTGGAGACAGACAAGACAATGATAGGCGTTATGGAAATAACAGAAGTGACAATGATCGTAGGTGGCAAGGCAATAAGGATAGGAACAATAGTAGGCGAAACAGGGATGATAATGATGGTGAAAATAATGACTTCAACGGAAGTTATCAGAATGATAGAAAAGACAGACCCAGGAGAGATAGAGATGAAAATAGGGTTGGAAGAGGTGGCGGTTATAGCAGAAACAGGGATGGCGATGATAATGATAGAGGTGGAAAAGGTGGTGGTTATGGCAGAAACAGGGATGGCAGTGATAATGATAGAGGTGGAAGAGGTGGTGGTTACGGTAGAAACAGGAATGGCGATGATAATGACAGAGGTGGAAGAGGTGGTGGTTATGGTAGAAACAGAGATGGCGATGATAATGACAGAGGTGGAAGAGGAGGTGGTAGTTACGGTAGAAACAGAGGTGACGATAATAATGATGGCGAAAACAGGAGACGTAGAAGAAACGGCGATGAGTCCAAAGAAGGTGACGATAAAGAAGAACAAAAGAAGAGAGAGATTTATATTCCTCCAGAGCAACCTGATGACGAAAATTCGTTATTTGGAAACGATGTGACAATGGGAATAAACTTCAATAAATATGATGATATTGAAGTAAAAGTGAGCGGTGAGAATGCACCGCATCCAATACAATCCTTCGATCAGTCTGGTCTCAGAACTATCCTATTGGAAAATATCAAAAAGTCAGGTTATACAAAACCTACTCCTGTTCAAAAGTACGCCATTCCGATTATAATGAGCGGCCGGGACTTGATGGCTTGCGCGCAAACAGGTTCAGGAAAAACTGCGGCGTTTGTAGTTCCTATCTTACACACTCTATTGGAAGATCCAAAAGATTTAATTAAAACGTCCACTTCCTGCGAACCACATGTAATTATTATATCGCCTACACGCGAGCTTACATCACAGATTCATCAGCAAGTCAAGAAATTTTCTTTAGGTTCCATCATACGTGCCGAGCTTGCTTACGGAGGAACATCCGTTGTGCATCAATCAAATAGAGTGCTTAACGGTTGCCATATTCTAGTCGCAACTCCAGGTAGACTGTTAGATTTTATGGGACGAGGCAAGATTCGACTTTCTTCCTTACGTTTTCTTGTACTGGATGAAGCTGACAGAATGCTTGATATGGGTTTTTTGCCGGATATTGAAAAGTTAATAGATCACGAAACAATGGCACCTGTAGAAGAAAGGCAGACTCTTATGTTTTCCGCTACATTCCCAAATGAAATACAAGAACTCGCGGGTAGATTTTTACGAAATTATTTATTCCTCGCAGTTGGGATTGTCGGTGGTGCTTGTGCTGATGTAGAACAGAACTTTTATCAAGCATCTGGTCAATCTGAAAAGCGAAAATTGCTGAAAGAATTGGTAGAGAAACAACATCAACTAGGAAATATAGAAGGTACTTTAGTATTCGTTGAACAGAAAAGACACACGGATTTTATCGCGGCCTTCTTGTCGGAAAGCAATTTTCCAACAACCAGTATACATGGTGACAGATTACAAAGAGAACGAGAAGAAGCTCTATACGATTTCAAACGAGGAAAAATGTTGATTTTGGTGGCAACGGCAGTTGCCGCGCGAGGCTTGGATATTAAAAATGTCTCGCATGTAATTAACTTTGATTTGCCAAAGACGATTGACGAATATGTTCATAGAATCGGACGAACTGGTCGGGTTGGAAATCGCGGCAAAGCAACTTCATTTTTTGATTCAAGTACTGATATGCCTCTCACTGATGATTTGATGAAAATTTTGAAACAAGCTGGTCAACCGGTACCTGACTGGTTAGAATCTGGTGGCAGTGGCGGGAGTAGAACCTTCATGCCAGGAAAGGGAAGGAGATTCGGCGGGGAAGATATTAGAGGCGTAAGTAATATTGCAATTTAAGTTTGTTCGTCGCATGTTGATAATTCATTTCTATTATATTTTTAATATCTTGCTATTGAATAGTAAAAATTATATATTATACGTCATTTTATAAATAACAGAGAAGAATTGATCATACTAGAACTTTTAAGTCTATAATATAAATTATTCATAAACCTATGGTATAAATAAATATAAATTTTTCTCTGTACAGAACAAGAATGCATATGGTGATGAGACGTATGAAGACGCTGGTTATGCACCTCCTATACAAGCAGAACCGGAAGAAGAATGGTAGAGATTAGAAGCTTCATATTTATTTTACACAATGTGTAAAATACTACTTTGCTTTCTTTAATTTTAAAAAGTACAATAGCTTTTATGGAACATTATCTGCTGTTAGCAGAAGTAACAATTGGTTTTTGTTCCTTTTTTTCTTTAGTTTATTATGTGATATACTTTTATTACTGCGTTCCTTAACAATGAGAAAAAATGCAAGATGCATTTAAATTTATATTGCTACCTCAGGATATAGAGTTAATAGTTACTTCCAGTAATAAAGTTTTAAATTACATAAGGTTTTTTTTAGATTACACATACATTTAACTGTTTACATTGTATAAATTGTAGGTTATTGAACAAAAAAATTATAATTTTGGATTGTAGATTTAAGAATGATTTAATAGTTTGATTTGACATTGAAAGTGTATCACTGATGAATCATTCTTGTTAGTGGTATTATATTTCAAAATATGAATAATCGTGTGGGGGAATATATACTACATAAAATATATACAATATGTAATCTATAATTAATGATTTTTTCCCATTGTTTTCACATACTTCTTACTTTAACGTCACTCTTTAAAAAATGTTAACAATTTTTAAAAAGTTTACCTGAAACTAATAGCGCGATATGAGAATATAAACTAAAAAGTATATATTCTACATCTCCCACACGATTATCGAAACATTGAAAATTTATTCATATTTCATGATTGTGATTTATTTTATATTCTATTTTGTTTCTTAATGTTATGTTTTTATACGTTATAATAAATATAACATTTAATACAGTTTTATACTTTTATAATAAAATTTTTGGTTGTAAAAAAACTTTTGCGTTTTTGGAATAAATTCTTCAATAATAAGTTATAGCTTTAATACATTCTAACACATTCACACATGACAGTGAAATTAATATATTATTAATTAGGATTAACTAAATACATATGGGAAGGATAGTATATAAAGCGAGTTCACAAATGAAAGTTATGTTAAGAAAATAATAATCTTTTTTTAAATTCAGTCTAATTTTTTACTATATACAGATTAGAAAATTATATATCTAACCAATAAAAAAAATTTTTAATGCATAAAAGAGTTTAAGAAATCTTCAAAAAATTATCAATTTTTTAATTTTCAATTTTCTACAGTTTCTCATAATGTTATCAAGAGATTTTATGAAAATTCTTAAAACTGGTACTTTTCTATCATTTTTTTTTAAATATCTGTATATTCTTTAAATTTTGTTAATTATTAACACATGAATGAGTGAGAGGAGTTTAATATTAGGAGAAGAATATACACTTACAACAATGACAACATAAGCGGTAACACTTACCGTCGTTCATGGCCATGTCCATTAGGTGCAAGTCCTCATCATTGAGTAGAGACGAAAGAAATCCGTCAGTAGTTTGGTTGATGGAATCTGTCGTCGGGGTATGATAATACATTATATCGTTAGGTTCAGACTTGTAACTTGCACCACTCTCTGCACCCATTGGCTCACTACTGTTTGTCAAATTCATCGATGTTGCCACAGCTGAACCCAAATTCGACGACCCACCTGTAACAGTGAGCAGCTTAGTTCAGACAATGAAATTTCTTAGATGGTACTTTAATTTACTGCATTCCCTCCCCTTTTTTTTTTTACAAAAATTGATATCATTAGTGAAAGTGTTTAAGAATATGAGTGCGTGGATAAGAAATGTAAAATTATTAAATGTGGATTAAATTGAAAGTGAATTATGAACGTAAAATTGTGAATTAGGTTATTATATAATATAACTTATAAAAATATTTTAGTTGAAGATTGGATTTCGTACGTTTCTGATGCATATATTGCGTGATATACAAGCTTCAATTATCTCAATGATACAAATTCAGTTTATATTGCGAAATTTCGTTACATCAAAGAGAAAGAGATATATTATATAACATAAAATGGGAACAAAACTTCGTACAACTTTAGGCAATACTCACCCACATTGTGGTAAGGTCCCGTTGAATTGAGATCCCCGACCGGAGGCGCTAAGGTAGGATTATGGAGCAATACGTTACGTTGCGCCTCGTAATGGCTGTGACTTATACCGTGTCCTGGATATCCAGGATGCGCTGGATGTGCGAAGTGATCCGGTGCTCCTGGCAGGGATAAAAGAGACGCAAGATCTTGCCACCGCTGTTCCATGCTCATCGCTCGCATGAACGGCATGCGACTCTGAAAATAAAAAAGTTCGATTCTTTCAAAATTACAGTATTCATAAAAGCTGAATGATTTTAATGCGTCTCATGTGATTAAATAATAATCGTTAATAATTTGAGTATTTTTAAAACCTGGCAGAATATATTTTAACATATATATATTGCAAAAATAAAATTTCGAAGCAACTTTGAAGGCTTTATATGT